TATATATATAGTATATATATATATATATATATATATATATATATATATATATATATGAGCACTGACAATATATCGTAAAAACAATATTGTACCGTGGAATAATATCTCCTGTTATTTTTTTTAGATTTTCTTGAGTTTGAAGGTGGAATAACTCGACAAAAACAATTTAAAAACCGTTACTAAAGAAAAACAAATCGATTCTCTTTTTTTTATCAAATTAAACGAAAGAATGAAATTAAATTGATTTTTATTAAACACGCAACTCGTTAACCGTTAAACGTTAAATATAAATAAATTTCCAACAATGGTAATCATAAAATTAAAGAGTATAAGCACAAAATTTTTCTCTTTTTCCATAAATCAAAAAAGTATTTAAAAAAATTAAGATATGACAAATTATTAGTTAATTACCGCGATATTTCTGCCCGTGCATCGAACTCTTAATTAAATAAAGGTATTTACCGAAAATAATCTAATCAGCTGATAACAAGTCATATAGGTTATGTAGATGAGCTGCATTGTAGGGCCTCCTTTTACAATTATGCTACATATTGTCTCAAGTAAAAGAAGGAAAGAACGCAATAAGGAAAACATATGTGAATAACATACGTGTGAACAAGATAACAATTATTAAGAGACAAACATAAAAATATACACACATCCATCATACATGTACGTGTGTATGTGCATTATCACATAAATACGACTCTTTTGTAAACGTGTTTTTAAACGTACAAGTATAAAATTTTTATCGAGTGGATATTAACATTTCGTAAATATTAACATTCTTGTTTTATTAAATTCGCAATTTGCAAAAGGTAGAAATTTTATTGCTAACGCAGGAACATGAACCGAGAGGAATACCATGTTCCTACAAAGTATGCGGAAGACAATGTGAGAGCTTCCACGTGAATAAAAGTCTCTCGTTAAGTACTAATCATGCGATACTACGTGAAGATAAAATGGGACTCGGGACAAAAACGGCGTGCGCAAGCACAGGTATGTGCTGCGTATGTCGGAGTGAGAGAGTGCAACTCGGAGGCGACGGTGGCGGCGGCGGCTGTTGGCGCTTTTTAGGAGGCGCCACCAGGGTGGTCGGAGGTATCAAAGAGGTAAGATTAACGAGAAAAGCTTTAGATACCGTGATGACTCCATCCTTCATAATGGACTTTCGGCTCCGTATGATCATGCCCACGACCTTCTTAGAGACCTTGGCGGGCATATTCACGCACTGCGCGCACAGATTCTTTCGCTTCTTCAATTTCATGAATTCCTAGACTCTCGGCGACACGACAGAAGTCATTTTTTCCGCGACACCGTTCTCGCACCGTTCTCACAGCTCCGGGATCACTCCACTTTCAGCTTTCAGCTATCGCGTTCTCATGGTGGCATCTACATAACAGCGGTGCAAAGCGGCCAGAACAAACGAACGTATCCGCGTGCTCGCGGACCAACACGGACTATCGCGGACGGTCATAAACGATCGCGAGGCGATCGCGCCGCGTCGTTCCTAGAGTTCCATGCGCGATTCGCGTCTACGGCCAAATTTCCACGACGACTTCGCGTGGACATTTGACTGGCGCCATTGGTCATTTCCCGTGGGTGGCGTCCGATTACTCGATGTTGCCGATTGGCTAATTTAAAATTAAATTTTTCGATTGGTTGATCCAGTGGAAATTCGTTCGGCTATCGGTCGCTGTAAATGGCTATATCTAATTGCAACGTGTCAAACGAGAGGGGTGGGGCGAGGGGGGACGCTCCCTTTTTCCGTTCTTATATTCATTTCTAACAATGTTTATGAAGACTGTCAGACTAGAAAGTGAGATTAGAAGCTCTAAGCTTCTTTTGAAATATATCGCAAATGAAAATCCTATATATATGTTATATATACTCTAAGATTTTTGTATGCGACACGTTCAAAGAATAGGATTAGAATTTTAGATTAGAATTTAACCAAGAAAAAAGAAAATTAATCTAAAATTTAGTGAACTTTGCTCGGATTGATCAAATTCCAATTTAATCTCAATTTCAATCTTTAGTCTGATACGAGAATTAGTTCAATTTTAATTTTTAATTCACCTTTTTCCTTCATTAGAACTGAAAAAAGATGAAAGATAAAGTCCGTATCAGGTTTAACGGATTAAGATTAAGATTGGATCGGACCAATTAGAACAAAGTTTATTAATATTTATGTCTATCAATGTAGATTAATTTTTTTTAAATTTTTTTTAGTTCTACAAATTAGAAGAGTATAAAAAATACATTAAAGTTAAGCGATTAAAGTTAATTACATTGATAGAATTACATTGAAATTACATAGAAATGGATAGATTGAAATTGGATGCCGTGCGTAATCGGTATTTCATCAATCCGAGCTCCGTCTAAGCGATCCGATACATCCATGGACGTGGCCGGCTGCAGCGGCACCACCTAGAATCGTGCGCACGAGACTCGACGACACGTCTCAGGCCGCTCGAGCCAGTCGCACGCGAGCTACGTCGATTGGTACATTATTGTCGCTTTGCGCATAGCACCGTGAGAGTGCGTAGCGTTCAGTGGTGGAAAAAAAAAAATGGTGGTTATTTGGGTGTAGTCGGGGCGAATTTTCTGGCGACACGCGAATGTGAGTACCGGCTGGCTAAGGGACTTTAAACGAGTGTCGTTTCGTGGTCGATGCAACCGCGGTGGATAGCATGACTGGGTCCGTCTCGGCGGTAACGAAAACACACGAGAGAGCGGACGCGGGACACCGATTCTCCCCCGCATGAAAGCCCGAGACTCGAGAAGTAGGTATTGGTGGTTGGCCCTCGTTCGTTGCGTCTCTCTCTCTCTCACGTCCGCATGACACGTATGTCGCGCAGGCACTTTGGCGAGATACTTTATCAGTCAAAAATAACGGCGCGCCGCATGACGTGCCGCGGGGCGCCGCGGCCTCGGCGCCACCTCGCCTACCCGACGGGACGTCGCGCTCGTAAAACGTGTGTCCCCGCCGAGCGATATTTTTGGGATAGATGTCACATTATATCTTCTCTGTCTGTCTGTCGCGTGCGGTGCGCCTTTGCGCCTTTAACGTCGCCGTGCGCCGTGCGCCTCCGCTACATCGTGCATGTGAGTGTGTGCATGTGTGCGTGCATGCGTGCGTGCGTGCGTGCGCGCGCATCTACTTCGTATTCGTTCGTGTGTATGCGTGTATGCGTCGTCCGTGTCTCGTACTTGCGCGTACTTGCGCGTACTTGCGCGTGTGCGACGAATGCGCGTATGCGTCGTTTGATTTACAAACGCCTCTGCGTTTACGTACGCATACGTGTACGTATGTATGTGCGTGCATACGTGAGGTCTCTCCCTCGATCGTCGTGTAACGGCGGCCTCTAGTCGTGTCAACGTTGCCGTGCGCGCCGCGAGGTCGTGTTGGTGGAAACAGACGGTCGTGTTAACGTGTGTGGTGCGACACGCATTTATTTGCCTGCTGCCGTGTGCGTGTCGTGTCGTGTCGTGTCGGATCCGGTCGGGTCGGGACGGGACGGGACACCCTATATATTGTCATATTTTTCAAGCGGCGTATCCCCACGGTACTTAACAACATTCTGCGACTTTAACGGCACAAACTTGTCCCTCCGTGGTCTCTTTGTTTGTGATACGTATTCGCGCGTATGTTTCCCGATCAAAACATCGAAATGTTCTTACATCTCGATTCCTCGATTGACACGTTAATCATAGCTTGAAAGCAAATTGATTTGCGGTGATTTGCTCCGCTTAGAGCTCCCGCATCTATTTTATCTGCGTACCTCCCGTCGCCCGTCGTCTCGTTAAACGGATAATTTTTTCGTAGCTCGTGATTAGTATCAAATATATCGTAACATAACGTCAAGGTATGTAATTAGAGATATTCCTCCGTGTAAAATGCAAGCACACCCGTATCAATTTTTATTAATTGTTTTAATATTTTTTTCAAGTTTGCGCCAAGTGTCGCAAAATAAAAGATGGATAAATTTCTAAAATTATGGCAACGGTATTTGTTGAGCGAGATTTAATATTGCATATATTAATTGATTTATGTACAGTTAATTAATGAGCCAATTATTAAATTATTATATTTTTATTATAGTCAAGTCATTTTTTATGTCTGAGTGTAACAAATATACTAAAGCTAATTTTATCATTGGAATAATATTAATATCTTTCTTAAATTAGATAGGCTACTAGTGTCTCGAAAATTTTAATAAAAGTTGAAATAATAATTTATTAATCATTATTTTTTATTTCTTTAATTATTTCTTTTAATTATTTTGATATGTTTGATTAAGATATTTTTAAGACTTTTTAAAAGCAATTACATTAGGACAAAATAAAAACTTCCAAATGGAAATATTGATCTATAATGAAATTTTAATGAACTGAAATTGTTTTGATTCCAGATTTTTTCAGTTCCTTGGGCATTAGAAATTTGCTAGCCAATTCAGTGGTTTGTCATGGAATATGCAGCCTAAGTCCAAAATGTTAGAGATATGAATATGGATATTTTAAATCTTATAACAAAGACTGCTCATTAAAATATATAGTCACAGTCAGAAAAATTTTAATTTGAGCTTTGAAGGAGGCGATAATAATATGAATCTTATTAATTTTACATTGAAGCAAAACTGAGTAAAGAGACGCAAAGGAATAGGGAAACTAATTTTGTGAAGTAGAATTTTAAATAAAGTTGGTTATGTGCAATGCCGAGATGCTACAATGACAGCAAGACAGTGAGTTCAGTGAACAGCAACTATAAGCACAGTACAGACGATATTATATTAACACAATCACATGCTTTCTCGATTGGAAGTCATTTGGAAGTAGACGAAGATCCCCCGGTAGTTGAAAAATCACATAGACGGCTTCGGTGTGATCTAAGTCCCGTTCCAACAAATACAAACCCCAATTTAAACATAAAGCTTCTTGGTTTAAAGGTAAGATTTTACTACATGCATTTTACATATATATTTTTATTTTCTGCATTTTTTAATTACAACAATGTAAAAATAGGATGTTATGTTATTACTTTGATAAATTTTAAACATTGTGTTATACAGCATACTTGAAGTCAAAAATGTATCATTAAAAAATTTACTGTGATATTTAAAATATCAGAAATATAAATACCACATTTTAAAATAATTTCTTCTTTATATTTTTTGCACTGTTGTAGGGTACTGTTGATAAAGGTACTCGTCAGGATCATCACCAGGTGAGCACTGGATCTGGGGGGCACAAAGAAAAAAATAGGGAGACTAAAAAGAGAGCAGCTATAGGCAATACAGTGCGTGGATTCCTCTCATCTGGCCATAGCAGGCAGGACAGGTATAATGATGTCTGTATCAAAAATCATGCTTCTTACATTGTCATTTGTTACATCTTATTATTAATTTATAAACCATTTCTTTGGTCTAGTCTATATTAATCTTTTTTAATTGATTACAACAATTTCTTTTTATTTTCTTGAAGTATTTTGCTTTACAAAATTCTATTATTAATTGCGCATTTATGTAACTGTGTTACTATAGTAAATTCTCGATAACTCAAGAATGAAAATAAATTTATTTATTTATTGCCACCATTATTTTTATTAAATTTAAATGATGGTATGGTATTATCTTGAAATTGAAAATACATTTTGAGATTCTTATTTTTTTTTTTTTTAATAATCGAGAATATACTTATATATTATAATATATTATAATTACACAATAAGCTTATGCACTAATGTGATTAAAATTGCTTTATACTAAATAAGTAGTTTGTATCAATAAACATAAGTGACTATGCAATATAAAGAAAATATATGCTATGGATTGTATATAGATTTAGAAATAACAAATATGATTCCTCTGTATTTTATAGCTCTATCAGAGCTTTTCTATATATTAAAAAAAATGATATTTTAGATATAGATATTAAATAATCCTTTTCATAAGTATTTATAAGTGTTATACATTTTTCTTGGAGAAATTCTTGGAATTTTGTATGTACACATTGTTCAAATAATTGTGAGATAAATTATTTAAAATTCTTAAAAAGAGATATGACATTATTTAGTGATGAGTTATTTAATGTCTATATCTAGAATATTTTTTTGTACATATACAGACATATCGCTTTTTTCATTTTGTAATTAAAAACATTTAAAAAACATAAAATTTCATGAAAACAAGCTTTTTATTAACTTATATATTATCGATTATATATTTTAAACTATAAATTAAATCCTCAGTTTTATTTCCAAGATCCAAATAAAATAAATATAAAAAAAAAATTAGAAAACGGTATTGTTTTATATGAATAACTCTAATGAAATAAAACATATTTTTTATCTTTAAGATAAAATAATCTATAAAATGGGATTTCAGGTATGAGACAAACAGGCAACGTTCTTCAGGTGGAACTAGTGGTGGCTTATCTAGTTTATGTCCTAAGCTGGTGGCCAGTGGAGGCACTGGCAGCCAAAGTGGCATTAGTTTGGCAGTGGGCCACTTAGCCTCTCAAGAAAGTGGAGGTCCTTGCGCAGTTGTAACGACTCAAAGGATCCATGCACACAATCATAAACGCCAAAGAAAGTTATCTATCGTCGCGCAGGCAGGTCCTAGTGTCAACACTACTGGTGATAGAAAGGTTAATTCAATTGTGATTGGATAAATAAATTAACACGAAAATATCCAAATATTGATTGTATAACATGATCAAAAAATATTATCATGCACTTCAAATTGTTATACGAAACATGATTTAATATTATTTTATGTTTTATACAGGTATTATCTAACATAAGTCGCTCTGCCAGCATCTCTAAAAAGCAAATTCGAACACAGCGACATGATCAGAATACCGATTCTTTCTCTGTAACTAGCAACGGTCTCGCGACTAGTTCACCATCCTCTAAAAAGAAAGTACTGTCTGCTCTGCGTATCTCTGATCGATCATCTACTCAAAGTGTGAATTCATCATCCTTAGATCATGAAAATGATCGCAGTTTCAGTGATGCTGAAGAAGCAATCGCAGCAACAGAAAATGCATTCGCGACTTCAGGTAGAATTTTTAAAATTAAAAGCTATAACGTAAATTTGCGTAACATAATTTATGTATAAATTTATCGGAATTTTTTTATTGTATATAGAATCTAGTTCTACACCTTCTACACCAGTTAGTAAAGTGAAGTCGGCAAAATTTAGCAAGGATGAGGAAGCAAATGTGGAACGTGATATTCTCGCGGAATGTACTGATTCATCAAGGAAAGTGGCAGATGTACAACATGTAATTTTAAATGAGTTTGAACAAAAGAATGCTGCGACAATAAAATCGTCTGCAGTACATAAATTACACGCGATTAATCAGGAAAGTATTATAAATGATAAACAAAAATCATTGTCGAGCTCTACTTTTGGCGCCAAATCTGTTAGTAGTGATCAAAAAATTTCGAAATTTAAAAATCCAAATTCTATAGAGAAAATGATTGAACATCATAGTAATAAAGACATTGAAACAGCTAATATAGAAAAAGACTTAGATGATACTACGATATCAGCAGACACAGAAATGAATTCCATGAATAGTAAAGATAAACAAGAGAAAAGTAGAAAATCTATAGAGTGCATGGAGGGCGATGATGATGGTGCAGATAAAGAAATTACAAATACTTTGAAGATTGTAAGCAGTGATAAGAGTGAAAAGGTAACGAAGATAAAGAATAACGCAACTTTAAGTGAGGAAGTAATCAAAGGTTCGAGATTTGTAACATCGAAAGTAGTAGAGCAGGTAACGGATGCAGATACCAAGACGGTAGAAGTGGAAAAAGAAGAAGAGGAGGAAAGAGTGACGATATACGATGACGATGGCACTAGTATCAGTGATATAGTTGCAGCACAAGCGCTTCACGAATCGTTAAGTAAATTAGGTAAAGTTCCGCCATTGGATACTGAAATGGAAAAGGTGCAGGCAGGTACAAGTTTAAGAGACGAAACAGAGATGAGGGAGCATCCTGAAAAAGATATAGTTACCCAAGAAGAAACGGTGGAAGGTTTTATCGGTCCATTGCTCGATGAAAACTTTAAAGCGGATGAGAAATTGTCGCAGAAAACAATGGCGATGGAGGAGGTGCAAAATTTATTAATGAAGGTAAAAGTGCAGGCTGTTGAGGATGACGATGATGAAGAGAAAGCTGTGGGTATTTCACCAGATGGAAGATTTTTGAAATTTGAAGAAGAAATCGGTCGTGGTAGTTTCAAGACTGTTTATCGCGGGTTAGACACTCAAACGGGCGTAGCTGTTGCCTGGTGTGAATTGCAGGTCAGTAAAATATCTTTTCAAGATATGAAAATATTTTAACACACGTTAATTAAAAAAAAAATTTCATTATTTAATTCATGATGGATTTAAAATTATTTTTCATATTTATGTGTCTTATAGGAGAAAAAGTTGAATAAAACAGAGAGATTGAGATTCAGGGAAGAAGCTGAAATGTTGAAGGGATTACAACATCCGAATATTGTAAGGTTTTATGATTATTGGGAAGTTACACTTACCCGTAGAAAATATATTGTACTAGTCACTGAACTTATGACATCAGGAACATTGAAAACGTAAGCTGCTTATTGTTTATAGAGTAATACAAAATAAATAGACCGTTATTTTTATAACTGATTGCATTATAATAGGTATCTAAGAAGATTTAAGAAGATTAATCCCAAAGTAGTAAAATCTTGGTGTCGGCAAATTTTAAAAGGCCTGAGCTTCCTTCATTCTAGATCACCGCCTATTATTCATCGCGATTTGAAATGTGATAATATTTTTATCACGGGTACGACGGGAAGTGTGAAAATTGGTGATTTAGGTCTAGCAACATTGAAGAATCGTAGTTTTGCAAAGAGCGTTATTGGTACACCGGAATTTATGGCACCTGAAATGTACGAGGAGCATTATGACGAGTCAGTGGATGTTTATGCTTTTGGAATGTGTATGCTTGAGATGGCTACTAGTGAATATCCATATTCCGAATGTACAGGACCAGCACAGATATATAAACGCGTAGTATCGGTAAGCATATATTGTAATTTTAAACTTTTATGCACAATATTAGTAATCTATGATACTAACATTTGTGTAGAAGAGATAATTATCTGAATATAATCTAATGTGTAACGCGAAGGAATGTGATCTTCTGACTATCAATTTATATTATAGGGTGTTAAACCACAGAGCTATGATAAAGTTGAAAATCCGGAGGTACGTGATATCATAGAAATGTGCATACGCTTGAAGAAGGAAGAACGGCCGCTCGTTAAGGATTTACTCAATCATGAATTTTTTGCTGATGATGTTGGATTGAAATTAGAGATGGTATCACGAGATTCGGCGGTTGCGGATGCCGAACTCTCGCGTGTTGAATTTAGGTTGCGGGTGCTGGATCCTAAGAAGCGTAGTAACAAGCATAAAGAGAACGAGGCAATACAATTTGACTTTGACATACAGGCTGATAATGCGGAAGAAGTAGCGTTAGAAATGGCAAAATCTAGCCTTATATTAGAGGAGGATGCTAAAGCGGTGGCAAAGATGTTGAAATCGCAAATTACCACTCTATTGCGAGAACGAGAAGAACGCAAAGCCAAAGAAGAAAAGGAACGCTTGGATAGGGAAACCGCCGCTATAGCCACAGAAGTCACAGCTAATGCTGCGAACGCTGAAAATTTGTTACAGCAGCAACTGCTTCTTCAACAAATGCAATTGCAGCAACAACAGCAGCAACAAATTCAATCTAATATTGGTATACAAATGCAAAATCAAGTGCCGATGCAATTGCAACAAACTCAAATGCCCATTCAACAACAGCAATTACAATCGACTGCTCAACAAGCTCAACAGCATAATTTACAAGCGCAGCAAGTTCAATTGGTCCAACAGCAACCGATAATCCAACAGCAAACATCGGTTGTACAACCTCAACAGGCTCAGCAAATTCAATATCAACAACAAATACAGCAGCAATATCAGCAGCAGCAACAGTATTCTCAGCACGTTCCGCAGAGCTTAAATGCAAATTCTCCGCAATGTTCGACTCCGCAAAACGTCCAGGCTCAGCCTCAGTTTCCTCAGGTATCGCAGCAAATGCAGTCGCAACAGCAGCAAGTTGTGCACCAGCAACCTCAACAAGTTGTACACCAGCAACCGCAACAAGTTGTACACCAGCAACCGCAACAAGTTGTGCATCAGCAACCGCAGCAGGTCGTGCATCAACAACAGCAATATATACAGTTAAATCAGATGAGTGTTCCGCAACAGATTTCTCATCAGATGCAACAACAGATACAACCTCAAATGCAGATGTTGTCACAACAGCAGCATATGCACCAACAACTTCAGCAACACGCGCCACAACAGCAATACGCAACGCAACTCCAGCACGTTCAGCAGCTGCATCAACATGCCGTTGGTTCGCCGCCTGTTCAAAATCAGCAATATTATCAGCAAGGCGCTCCTAGTTCTTCGGGATATGTTACAACGGGTTCTTTATATCCACAAACCATGCCGCAACAAATATTTCACACGTACACCACATCTACTAATCCTCCTGGTCATGTAGAAATCTTATCATCCACCCAAACCGCCACGCAGATTTATTCTCACACGAATTTACCTGCGAGCACGATGCCCGCATCCTCACAGTCACAATACATTCAATCGGCCGGTCAGGTTCAAACGTCTATACCGTCGGGCATAAGTGTCAATAGTTCGTCGGCTGTAACACATATGCAAAATGTTGCAAGTTCGACAATCCCCAATATGCAGAGCGCACCTGTTTTAATCGGCAATACTGGTCCACAGCCTCAGTCGCAACAAAATATTCTTGTACAAATGCAGTATTCGCAAGGTGCAAATATCATGCCTAATTCTATTTCAATGACGCCAAATATCACGAACGTCTCAGCACAATCATCTACCAATCTACAACCGCAACATCAACATTTCATTCCGGATCAATGCCCCGCGACCGATAGATCTTCCTTAGTGAAACAAGATACGATGGATTCGATACAATCTCTGCCACCAGATCCACAAATTAATTTACAACCAGAAATTGTCACTGCTAATTGTGCTCCTCTAGTTGCCACGGGAGTTGCACAACAGTTGACTGGGACATCTAATGAGGGGTAAGATAAGATAGGATAAAGATGAGTGAAGAGATGATGAATTTAATTGAGTATTTTATTTTTCAGAGTTACGCCAGAAAATTCTGAATGTGTTACTACTTCCGAGAGAAGTCGGATAAAACGTTCAGGAACTAAGCGTAAGAAGCCGGGCATTAAATTAACAGTTTTGTCTGTCAGTAGCGGCGAGGGACAATCAATGACTGTCGAATGCCAGTTGGATACGAGCAAACAAAAGACTGTTACTTTTAAATTTGATCGAGATGATATGGTACCTACGGATATTGCCAATAACTTGGTAAGAATATATCTTTTAACATACACTTTGCCTTGTAAATTACTTTTTATCTGATATAATTCTTTTTCCTCTTTCGACATATGCAGGTTGCGGAAAATCTGCTGCCGCAATCTCAATGTGAGACATTCGTAGAATTAATCGAAGACATTGTTAAACAATTGCGTTTGGATCCTACGCGTGCTCTACCTTTAGTAGCACACGGTCCGCCTGATCAATCTGCTGGTGGAAGCCCGGTTACAAGCCGACGTCCTAGAGATCGCGACCACAGTCTCGATACAGCTAAGGTATAATCTTTGTAGCTATCAAAAAATAAATTAAGTATTAATGTCATCGTATTATAAAAATGTGACATATGATAAATGGCGTTTACATCACATTTTACAGAATTCTGTCATTAATATCTTTATGGGCGCTTTTATCTTTTATGCGTGAAACTTTTATGTATTCTTTAAACATGCAGATGCGTCCAATATATAATGACCTGCATAAATAATGCGATCATTTTCTCTTCAAATGATCCAATTTGCATTTCCATTTAAAATTGAATTATCCAGGGCAATAATATTAAAATAACATAGGGGGCTTTGTGTGTGGATCATACATTTTCAATATAGAATCAAGGGTATGCATATAATTGGTGTATATGGTTTTGGACGCAGCAGGTGAGACATGGCTCGCTAACACGTCAAAGCAGCCACCGATCGTCGTACAAAGTCCACCGTAGACACCGTTCGGTGAGTTCATCGATCCCACCGTCCTTTCTCCCGTTTTTCCTGTATTTCACAATTATATAATCGTGGACGCTTACGCATCTCATATATTTTTATTACACTTGCAACCAATTTATGCCCAGATTCAAACATTTGTTAAACCATTATTATTTTGTCTTGTTATAGGTTCATACTATGTGTACAGAAATCTAAGAAAGCTTTGAGATTTAAAAAAAGACTATTTCTTTGCAACGTCGATTTCTTTTATATTATAAAGAAACGAATTTTGAAGAAATTGATTTTTTTTGTATATAGAAATTTTTTGAAAATGTCAGAACTTTCTTGAGATTCTATTTTTTATATGTTTTTACATTTTTCTTTTCACAGATCACCTTGCATCATTATAATACAGTGTATATGTCAAAGAAATCACGCATATTATTATCATGTGTGCTGTATTCATCAACTGTATTGATTTGTGTATGGAAAAAATTCTGCGCGTATTTTTATTTTATGAAAATTTACTGTTCTACAAAAATTTTGATTAGGACTATTTTATAAATATTGCAATAAAATAGTCATACTACATACATTCATTATGTTCTCATTTATATATACATAAATATATTTTGCATCATATTTTACTGCACGATATGATTGTTACTTTATATTTCAGTTCTACATAAAAATAAGGAATGTTTTCATAATAATTTTTTGTAGATATTATATTAGATATTATATTTTTAAAATATTTTCTACAAAACAAATTTAATAATATATAATATATTTTGATGTTTTTGTGATGCAAAATTATTAACATATTGTTAATATATTTTGTTAACATAATTGTTAACATATCTTTTTATATATATATATATATATATATATGTATATGTATGTATGTATGTATATATGTATGCATGCATATGTATATGTATATGTACAGGTCATTATTTATCTTATACGTTTAGTGTTAGTTAGTATTCATAATAACGAATATTTGATCTATTTCAGAGAGACGAAACGTCAAATACTTCTACTCCGACGAAATTGTTGCCAATCGATCAGATTATTTCTCATATCGCTAATACCACATTGGAGAAGCAACAAGTCGCTCAAACTCCCGATAGTCAAGTAGGTGTTGAAAATACGTCAGCGGAGGCTTCCAGAAGATCATCCACATCTACGCAAAATACTGATACTTTAACACCCACGAATATACCAAGTGATCCAACGGACAATCAGGAAACTATCGTTTCCGCAACGTCTGTGGAAACAGTTCTAGAAGCACATCATAATATTCAAGATGACACCAGTAATTCAGCTTTTAAATCTTATCAAACATCTATGCATGCTCAGACTCAAATACAAGATACGAACACAGGTCAGGCGAATGAAGCATCAAAAGAATCTCAAGAGCAGCAAGAAATAGATGTGAAAGAATCTGGGAAAGAGACAAATACATCCGACGTTGCAGAGATATCGACTTTGATGGTACCGACACCGGTCCGAAAAGTTTCTCGTTTCTTAGTTAGTCCTGTAGTCGAACAAAAAATATCGCAGCTGAAGAGGAAGCTTCTATCGTTGGTGAGAATGTAGATCGTACAAATGTCGCGATCTTGCAGTCAGCATCTCAGTTTGTCATGTCTGCTGCAAATACGGAGCTTGCAATGAAAAGCGAAGAACACGTAGACGCGAATGTTTCGGAAATTCAGAATGTGACGTCGCACGAACCAGCTAGCAATAACGAGACAATAGTTCAAAATATTCCGTATAACATGGAACAGACAGATAGTACGCAACAGATCTTACAGCCAAGCCAGCAGTCGATCGGATTGCAGCAGAGCATCATTCAAGTGCAAACTTTGCAGCAGGTAACGGGACACGTGCAAACTACAACTATTGGACAATCGAATCAACATACTATAATCGTTCAGGGATCCACACTAACATCGCAACAAACATCCCAACAAATACCACCTCAAACTGGTATGCAGCATTTCGTACCGATTAGTTCGCAGAAGGAGATGCAGCCTCAATCACTCCATTCGAATGGGATTCAAACGCAGGCACAATATCCAAATCAAGCGATAATACAGTCTAATGTTGTGATGCAACAGCCACATCAGCAGATTCCTATGCAGCAGGGCGTGATGCAAACACATATACAGCCGGAACAGATACAAGCCCAACGTCCGGCAGTGCAGCAATTCATCCCGCAACAGGTGCAGCCTCCGACACAGCAGTATGTAATGTTATCGGGTCATATACAACCGATACAACCGACGACTATGGATGACCGAAATCGCAGGGTGTCGAATTTATCCACTACGTCCAATATGTCATCGGATTCTCAACTTTCAGAATCATCTGGCATAGTTGAAGAAAAGCGACAAGCTGTGAATACGACTACTATACCTATAACGCATATGCAACATATGCATGTCCTTCCGCAAGATGTTCCCGTTACAATGTCGTTGTCACAAGGTATTATAGAAAGCGCTCAGCCTTCCCATCAAAACGTGCAACATGTTTCAGGAACTTTACCTCCGTCTATACCGGTGCCTACTTCTGCACATTCGGTTGTCACAGACATTTCCACACCCAAAGTCACTATTAAGACAAAAGAAGTATCCTCGACACTTCCAGATCTTGCGCAAAATTTGGCGAATATACTCTCAAATCCGAAATCTAAGTCTGCTACGCCGCATCCTTTGACTAGCCACGAACCAGTCACTGTTCCTAACGTCGTCGCTCCCGCATCAGTCGACTATAAACCTGTGCAATCTGAGCAATATTTTCAGCCTATACAACCAGAAGTGAGTCAGATACAAATTCAACCGCCCATTCAACACAATTATCAAGGGCAGATTGTGCATCAAAATTATCAGGGACAGCCGAACTTTCAGCAAGCGTTTCAAAATCAACAGGTGCTTCACCAGAATCAAGTCCAACCTATATCGCAGTCGATTCCGGTTCCTCAACAAATTGACACTCAGTCACAGATGATGCAGTCCATTCTTCAAAATGTATCAAGTCAACCGACTCAAGGAAAATGGATCGTCTCAGCTAATCAAACTCCTCTGCAGCAGTCAATACGACATATGCAACCAAACCAGTTGCAACCGCTCCCAAATCAGTTGCAACAAATTCCTTTGCAATCACAAGTACATCAGGCTATGCAGGAACAACAACATGGCGAATCTTCTATCGCGTTGGATCAATCACATTTACATTTAAAGCTTCCGGAACAACATCCAGCAAAGCTTTTTGAAACTGACAATCCAGAATCTTTAAGCATAAATTGGTATGTATTATTATTTTCATTTTCATTAACAAGAAGAGAAAAAACAAGATATATATCAAATATTTTATGTAGTTTGCATTAAGTTTCATTTATCATTTTAGCATACATCGTATTAGTTCCGATTGCCAATTACTTGCGTCTGAAAATGAGAATTCCAGTCATGATGTGACACCCGAGCACACTCTTGTAGAATCCATCGATTCTACATCGGTTCTACAACAACAGTTATCACTATCACAGCAGCAGCAGCACCAGCACCAGCAGCAGCAACAACAACAACAACAACAACAACAACATCGTAAACTCAGTCAACAGAATTCATTGGATAAAGTGTCAGATGTAAGCAACGTTGGGAATGTTGGAAGTAGTACAGGACCTCAAACCATAGCTGATTTACATCAGAAACTTGTGCAATTGACCAGTCAACCGTCAGAGTCGCTAAACGTCGGTACACCACCTATAAGTTATCCTGCCACGCCTCATAATAATCAGATGGTAGGAGGATACGACGCATACATGCATTCTTTGCAGCAGAAATTATTTAATATTGGCATGCCAGTTTCGTCCGCGAATGTCACATGCCCGTTATCTCCTCAAACAACAATACATTCCTCTAATATTCTTACCGAAACGCAGGCTGACGTGACTATCGAAGGCTCCACCATCACTCAAGACAATTCTGGTATACTGTCGCAAACTGTAAGTTTATATATTTGACGCGCTTAACTGATAATTCCCTCATTTGGAAATTTCTGTATATAAAATTGTTTTCAGAATGTGGATAGCTCTCTCGACAGTCCAACACCGGGGATTCCCACGGGGTCCGAAACTATGAGCCCAAGTAAAGAAAATGTAAAGATACGAACTCAAAGACCAGGGTCCCGTTTGCAAGAACTGGAGCAGGAATTGGCAAAGATTCATCACAGAGGCTCGGTTTTTACAATAGCTCCGACGCAGCCATTGACACCGCCTATACCAGTGCAAGCGCAACAATCCGTGCAAAATTTGCTGACGACCATTCAACCAGTGTCAGTAGTGCCTGTAGCTACTGTCACTCCTAATATTGTGGCACCGCGTTCTGGTACTGATACTCCAATTCAGACGGAACTTCAAGACAGTACTGAGGTAATATCTATTTCCTGTAAAATTTTTGATAATATCTATTACATTATTTATCTTATCTTTATGTATCTCGCGTTTATTGATTACACTCGCGCATATATTTTTACTTTTTTATCTCTAATATCAATTTCATGTTGATGTAGAAGGTAAATCCTACCCAACCTATCAGAAAGATATCAAGATTTGTGGTTTCCAAAGTTGCGGGCCCGCCTATTCATGCCAATGTTGCTATGAATCAACAGCTTGTTGATGTTGTAAGGTCTCAATTACAACAAACGGAAGAATTAAAAATTTCAGAACGGCAAATTCTTTCTCATCATACAGATGATCTACATGGTAAGAGATTTCACATAAACGATGAAAATCAAGATAATTAGAAGATAATTATTAAGTAATACATAAAAAAAAATATATATATATATATATATATATATACATACATACATAAAACAGTGACATATATTTAATTGTAGGTGTACCTGGACAAGTACCTCATAGTCGAGAAAATTCTGTACCGCCAATTGTACAAGCATCACATGGTACTAATGTTTCAAATATTGAAGTAAGTTTTATAGCTTATAATTATTAAAAATCTGAAAATAAAAATTAAGTTAATTACAATAACAATAATATAAGTAGAATAGAAGTGGAATAAAAATAATTTATTATTTCTCATATCATAGTCTGAAAAGGAAGAACGATTTGTGGCTCTTACACCAAGTGAAGAATATCAATTGCTTATAAAAAGGTAAAATTATTATAAAATGTAATATTTAAAAACAAATTTATTTTTAACATATTTGCTTTCCTTTTTTATTAAAAATTCATGAATGATTTATTTTTTAAATGATATAAAGAAAGATTTTTTTTATTATGTGTAGACAAACTTTGGAACTAGAAACATTGCAAAGAAGACATAGGGAAGAATTGGAACGTTTCCAACAACATCAGCTGCAATTGCTTATTCAGCAACAGCAACAAGCAAGCGCGCTTCATCAACATCAACATCATCCGTTACTCTATCATACGGTTGCAACAAATCTTTCTGGTTAGTAACACGCATTAAATTCACAATTATGACATATACAATGTATATTAAATGTCACTTTATCATTTGATAGGATCTAGAATTCCAGGAACAGAAGATTATCTGATGTTCAGCACAGCGCCGCAGACTCCATTACAGAAAGGATCGAGCAACTATCCAGACACAGATGAAACTTTACGGCTAGCTATGCAGAAATTGAAGCAGACTCCATTGCAGCTTCAACCGCAACAGGCATCGGCTGGAATACCGCATGCTTACGTTATACCAATTCCAGTAGTGCCTTCTGAAAATATGCAAAGTGTAATTTCTCAGCAGGGTAATAACTGTTCGAATGATGTATCCGAAGGCATCGATACGACGCACGGACCAGCGGTTGTGAATCCAACGCAGTACCAATTCGCTCCTATATTATCAGAGGGAACAAATATTCCGTCGACAACCGGACCGCTATCTGCGCCCGCGCCCTTATCGATATCTAGCACGACGGGCGCTTACATCCAGTATCACGAAGGCCAGCCGCTACCGAATTTTCAGACTTTCAGCTGCACGCCCCATGGCGGCTTCTTTCTGCCAGCTGGATATCGGTTGATATACACGCCACCCACGACGCAATCTCAGCCGGCGACACCCGCTACGTCTCACGTGACGAATTCGCGTGACGATACGCCTCCGACGGCGGAGCCGCACCATTCGACCATTGCCGAAAACTCAACGGTTCCTCCTGTGCATTCGGATCAATAACGCAACGTTCGGCTCACACGCTTCTATATTCTCCGGTCAATCTGCGTTCGCTCTTAGTTTTAACGCTGAATACTGTTTATAGTGCAGAGTTTTGCATCGTTATTATTACGAATATAATTTGCTGTGAAATGCGCGCGTCATTGCCAGACATTTATCGTGAAGGTGCGAGGGAAGTGAATTGAAAGAAAAAAAAAAACGTGAGTGGAACTATATATGATGTTTTTGATGTACGACATACTTGCGTATATTAAATAAGATATCAAATATTCTCGCTATCTGAGCGTGTGCATGATATTACTATGATATGTGCCTCGCAGCGGAAGCAAAGTGAA